TCTCTCTCTCTCTCTCTTTCTTCTTTCTCTCTTTTCCTTTTTCTCTGCCACGTTATTTGGATCTCAATCGATAGACGTGCATAATGTATTAGCGCATGACAGGATGATATCGGCGATGCGGACGATGGATGCAATTAAGCATGATCGATGACTCGAACGACCAAACAGCCAAGCGGATCCAGAAGTGCTTAACTGCTCGGCGCGACGGCAATGTGTTGTTTCAAAACTGCTCGACAGACCGCCTCGATCGGCTCGAATTAAATCTGAGAAGTGTAACGACGTCGCGTCGTCGTCATTTTTTAGCATATGCAATCTCGTTTGCCTCGATCAAAAAATAAACGATCTTTATTGGTATAACGAATCCGAACTTCACTGCTGCCCATTCATTTCCAAGCTGCATTCGATATAATTATTACGTCAGACTGAATAACTATTCTTCCAAAAATAACATTACGCAATAAATATTACGCGAGTAGAAGTTATTTTCGAATGCACATTTAGCATTTTAGTATTTAATATATTGAATATTTTAGCGACTAGTATTTCATAAATCTTTTTTTATATTTTCCGTTCATATATCTTTCTGAGGCATTATTATTAATAAATTTATGAATTATTATTTAGTACATAAAAATAGGATATAATTTTAAATTGTAAAACAATAATTATTATAAAAAAATGACAGTTTTTGATAAGCTAACCTAAGTTTAAGAGAATTGTTTCGTTTCTTGATTGCTTCGGAATTTTTCTACGCACACGTCTTTTACACGTCTCGCACGAGAGATTAATTATCGCGTAATTTATCGAGTACCTGTCGGCGAATAAAGTGAATGGCAGTGATAACGCACGGTGCTACAGCGAACGAAGGGAACGGCCGCGAGTTTACACCATGAGTTTTCATTCATGGCTGTCGACAACACATGCGTTTGCGAACAAAGCGGAATTATTTATAAAGCGGACGAAGTCGATCCTGTTTCTTGTAAACGAAGTTATTTTCGAAAGTGACTTCGAGGACCACGTCGAGAAACGCGCCGAAGTGAATCCTCCCTGGCGTTTTCAAACTCTCTCGTGCCACTGTTAGAAATTTATTTTTGTGATCACGTAAAAAGAAATGTCGACCGACGCCTTCTGCGAGCGGTCCCAAGCACCGATCGTTACGCCGACAATATTGTAAGTTTCTCTTTCACATGAATGTAAATTTTACGATCGTCGTACTCGTCTTAATCGTACCGTTCTGTCCCGAGGTTATCTCGTTTCAGTTCCTGACAGAACGCGATTTTAACGGCGATTATAAATAAAGATGTTATCATTTCGAATATAATATTTTATCACACACATGTTCAAATTTAGACGCAATTATTTATTTGAATTTGTGAAATGTGCGGGACAGATGTTATAAATAATAAACTGAAAAAGTTTTACGAATTAATATTTGCCAATTTAATATTTATTCAAGTGAGATAACTCATCAATAGCATTTATTTTATAAATTTTTTTCTTAACTTTCAGACACATTATGTTTAATTTAATAATTCTATTTTTGTTCATATTCAACGTTTTTATTCTTTCTTCATGAAGTATCTGATCGATTTAAATATTTACAAAAATATTTAATTTTATTGCCATGCTGAATCATCCGCTGTAGACCGAAGAAAACGAACGAAGCAAAAGTGGTTATCGAACCCGTACGTGTCTCTACAATTCAACATTGTTCGCGAAAGGAAGTCACGTGTTCAGGGAGTAAACCTAGCCGGAAAGAGGTGCTTGACGGAAAAAGAGCTCGACTGCGACAACTTTTCGAATGCGATGCGATCGATTTGGAAAATTCTCTTCGCGAACTGGGATACGCTTTCGTTCCCACACAGCCTTGACCTTTTTCATCGCGTTTCTTTCAGTCCTACTTACGACCTTGAGGTTTAACGAATTGGTATTAAACATCTGCACTTTCACCGCTTTCGATTTAAACCGCACTTGGCGCCGTCTTTCCCAAAGTGTCGCCATGAAATTGCCATTCGAAAATTTATGAAGAATCTAAAATTTTCCTGATAATAATCTATATATTAAAAAACCATTGAAACTCAAGAATTATAAGGATATTTTTAATATACTACTATAATATTGACAATAATAATAAATTTGTAATTGCATTATAAATATTTTATTTTGATTTCGCTTCAAAATTTTATTTTAATGAGTTATTGATATTTTTCAAAAATTTATTCTCAAGCCATTTAAAATTTAATTAAGAAAAGATTATACAGATAATTTGATATAACAAAATAATGAATTTATTTACAGCATTTATATAAATAAATAAAATAGTTAGTAAAGTTATTATAAAAAATAGCAATAGCTAGATCATCATCAAAATATCCATTCATCCGCTTAATTTCAACCATCAATTCGTCGAGCGTCATCTTTATCAATATAATGCGATTGATGCTATTTGATGCAATTTATTTTTTAAATTTGTTAAATTACTAATGTCATAAACAAATCGTTACATGTGTCCTTTACTTTTCTTAACTAACACTTTTATATTAGTTTTTTATTATGTTGCATTAATGCAGCTATTATGCCACAAAAAAAATGTATATTATTGCGTGATGTTATTTTCAACATGATTTATTATCTATTGAAAGTACATACATGATGTATACGCATACACATTACCGTGACATAAATAAAATATATAGATATATCTTACACGTCGACGACGAATGAAAATAATGTGATTATCCTTGTTCTGTTAGACTTTGGTAAATTACTTCATGCCAAAGGGGGGAAAAGGAGAGACGGCATATATGATACGCGTCAAAGGGACACGAGCTTTCTTCTATGTACATCGCCATATATATAAGCATATATTCGAAAAGTATTTCTTTTGTTGTCCATTTCTTCTCTTTCTCTTTTCCCTGTCTTGTTCGTATCGAAAGTACACTTGTCAAACTGCGAATTTACGCTACGTACTTTTTTTATTGGACGGCATATTACGGCACTATGAATCGTTCGCCTATTTTCCGCACAATCGAGCCCTTCATTAGCTTTTCCTTCTGATCTCCTTCGTCTTCGCGCCTCTAACCTTCTTCGTTCACGACGAGATACTTTCATATGTACTTTACTCATTACAAAAATGTGCGCTTCGCCATCCGATAATTTGTCTTTAGGTCTCTCGCAATACTACATACACAATGTAGTTGGAATAATTAGCATAATTTCAAGAATACTTCTATATCTATGCGCGCAAGTATATTGTTCTTCTACAAACCGAATATATGAAATTTTTCAAACATGAAATTGATTTTGGAATAGTGTATTACAATGTATGTAACATATTGCGCATTTGTTTATAAAATAAAATATAGAAAGCTTTTCATATCTTGAAACAGATATCAAATATATTTGACTTTGTTTGAACAAAATTGGATCACTTCCATTAGTACAATAACAATATACTGTAATACAATATGTAATACAATGTATTGTATAATGTATTAATTTCTAATATAATACATTTTTATATTATATTATCAAATATTATAATATATTATAATATCTATATTATAATATATAATATAATATATTATAATATATTATAAATATTATAATAAGTGAAGTGAAGTGATTGCTTTGCTCTATACGTTCACTTGATTACAACAGTTTCTACTTCAAAATCTGTACTCGCTAATTAATGTATGACATCAAACGGGTACACATATTTTCAGAATAAAAAAATACATCCATTTACGTATTATTCGGGAATGTATAAAGACCATTCACGGAGCTCTTTGCGTATGTATACAAAATCTACTAAAAATAAGACTGAATTCTTTTATATTATTCAATTGACAAGTTTTATGGTTATCATCGATCGTCATTAGAAAAAGAAAAACTGGCATAAAATTGGAATATATTTACAAAAAATAAGAAATAAACAAAAAAAAATGTATTACAAAAAAGTAGTATATCAAATATTTTTATTAATAATATTAACGTAAATTGTATTGTTGTCATTAACGAAAAGTATTTTGCCGGCAGTCGTTCTTAGAATAATCATGTCGATTGTACGCGGGCATTTGTCTATTAATATCGTGCATGTTAGACACAATAATAAGAAAAGGTTACATTGGTGCTATCACATATATTGATACGAGAACGAAATACATCGGCACACACGATGTATTGCGGTTGCTTTACGTACGAGAAATATATTCGATTCTATGAATACATTGCGCCTGATGAGAAAGATATTATAGAGAAATCTAGGCGTCAATTTGATTCCACTCTTAAACAAGTGGAATTCTTATCGGTAATTCAAGTTAGAAATTATGTTATTTATGTTAATTATTCCTCGTGAATAAATAGATCGTGCGACGGATGATATCTTGATGTGAGAAAATCAGATTGTCAGGATGATTCCAGTCGTCGACTGTTTCAAGAATCCATGTTGCTCAAATAAATAAATTATGTAATATTTTTAATTTTAAGCGATGTGACGTTGACATTGTTCTATCTACTTCGCTCGATCTTGAAGTGCACTTTTAAGAATTATTTGCTGGAAAAAATGATTCGCTTAATTTACTATCCACTGGAGAACACTGGTATCAGCGCCGCCGGTCGATACCAATCGGGAATCATCTTGCAGAAATGAAACGTTTGTTACATGACTCGAGTGACCGCCATAGGAGTGGTATAATGACTGAAATAAAAAAATTTCATTTGTAACATTTTTATACATTTCTTAATGTGCAAAAGTGTAATAAATGTTTACCTTCGGCTGGCATGCTGGATGAGAAAATAACTTGACTTTTCCAAAATCATCACCCGTAGCCAAGAGCTTGCCATCGCCACTTCGTGTGCAATTATTTACGTCAGTACCATCAGCGCCCTCCGGCCAAATGCCTATTGTCTCGAACGATATGACGCAGGTATGAGTTGCCCAATCAACATTTCTCAACATTGAAGATTGTGGAATTTGACGACACACACCAGGATTCCCTGAAAATTAGAAAAAGCTGTTAAACTTTTGCATTTGAAATATGTACAATCAATATTAATATAATTAATATTCTTAATTTAAAGTATCATTAATGTAATCGCTCTTTTATCTGCTAATGTGCATGTTATATTTTTAATTAACTTTTTTATCTTCTTCACATGAACAAAAACTTATTTATAATTATAACAGCTATTATCGACATATCTTATAAATCATGTATTATAGATCCGTATAATTATATTATAATAATTATATATTTTTTATATTACATGTATAACTATTATATATTTTAAGCTTTAGGAGTTTTAGTTTCTTCCGCGTGAACTAAAGTCTCATCACAGAAGATAGAAATGTGAAAGCAATGTCAAATAATTATTTTGGCGACAAAGTATAATGTAATCTGTAAGAGAAAACTTTGTTTTTAAAGATAAACTAAGGAAAGCATGAAAGGAAACTAAACTTTCCTTTTTTAGGATTTGTGAGATAGAGGAATTAAAAATTTTGAACTTCAAAGAATATTTTTCGAGAATAAAACATTCCAGATGGCGGGATAAAGCATGAATATAGATTCAAATTCTGAGTTTCAACAGAAATCTTTTAAAACAAAATAACATAATAGACTTGAAAGATTAAATCTTGCTAACAGAAAAATTACTAGTCTCATGATTAGGACGTGCAAATATCCAAGTAAAAAATTCCGAAATAAATAAAAAAAGTATAGATGCCAAAAAATATAAATTCCAAGAACAAAAGCAAATACAATCATAAATTAGAATGAATTTCGACTCAATAGTCAAGCAGTTCTGAAAATAAAATATTTTCATCAACCATTTAAACAGTGATCAGAGATTCTTGGAAGATATTGCCAAACTTTAACAAATGTTTAGTTAGCTCCAAAACAAACAAAATACAAAGAATATAAAGAACAAAGAAAACATAATCCCAAAATAATGTTTCTGCAATTTTCTAAAACATATTTTATTAGTTTCAGTTTATTTAATAGTAACATATTAGAAAGTAACAATGGCTATGACAATGTGATAGACATTCCTTTCTAATTCTTTTTTTGCAATAATCATTTTTTATGCTTTCTTTTTTTATGCTTAACCTTTTGCATGTTATATTTAATTAAAAAAATAAATTATTAAGGGCAGTTTCACTTACAATAGAGTAACTCATAATCTCCGCTGTTGCTGCGTAAGTATTGACCATCCACAGACCAATCCAAATGAGTTATAAAGCTGGAATGTCCCTGAAATAAAAAAAAATTCACATGTTCATACACTGCATACACATGTCACAATAAATTCTTGCAGATCTTGTGTTTTTGTCACTAACTATAGAATTCTAAAAATTATCAGAGTATAACAAACTAATTACACAATTCTTATCTATTGTATTATAATTGTAGTAATTTGTACAAGCAATGTAAACGTGCGTGCAAGTGTTAAAAACTTAAGTGGAAGGTTGGCTACGTAATTAATAATATTCTACAATTGTGTATGAGAAAAGGTGAGGTATGTCGCGTTGCGTTTATTTCTTAGAAAATATTAGACACATTTCAAATTTTAATGCAACGCGACATCCCTTCTACATTTTCGAGTGGCCGAAACACAAGTCTTACTCCGTGCCTTCGAATCCGCTTTGGCTAGAAATGGAAAAGAATTGTATTAAGTATCATTAAGCTCTAAGAATATTAAAGAAATTGTGAATAAAACATTTTGTCATATTTATACATCAGTTGTTTCTAGTTTTACAAGAGAGCTACTTAAATTACATATGTACAAATAATTTTCTCAGTTATTTACAGATATTTATACAATTATTTTTAAAAAACTATTATAACAGTACAATACATATACAATTCAATAGAAAAAAATGGCTTAGATTTCTTTAAAAAAAAAAAAAAAAACGATAAAAATCTCTTAGCTAATAATTGTCATATTTTTATTGCATTATAAAATATAATCATTTTTATCATCAGATTTTATTATCAGAATTTAAACCATTAAATTATTAATATATTATAAATATCACAACGTGATTAATTCGTGACTTGATTTAGAGATAAATATGTACATATTTAAATCTATTTACAATATATATATATATATATATAAAATAAGATTGAAGTATATATTACAATAAAATAAATTTAGAATTTTTAAATAAAATTCTACAATTTTAAATAATATTATACAATAATTTATAATAATAAAGTCCTGTACAAAATGATATTTAAAAATGAAAAAATATATTTATAGTTACAGATATATGACATATATTTGTAAAAAATGACTATTTTATTGCTATAAAATTAATTTATTGAAAAATAGTATTCCAGTCATAGAAAATATAATTAATGTTAAAATATGACAATACAAGATTTATAACTTACCATACACCGCCCAACGCGGCTATATTTGGTTGCGTCCTCGTTTACTTGATAGATGTAAATGTAATTATCTCTGGAGCCGAGTGCAAGTAAGGAACCATCAGGAGAGAATTGAACAACCTAAAAATTATAAATGTAACAGTACGAAATTAGGTACAAAAAAACAGTTTCCTATACTATGTTGTAACAATATAACAAATGAATATAAAAATATACCTGAATAGGCTCAGAACCATCGCTGTGATGTGTGTACAATTCTCGCGTCTCGCTATCAATTGCCAACCATTTCCCGGATACACAGCCAACGACTATGATATTACCATCCGGCGAAAAAGCGATACTTTGTGCTTGTTCCTAAATAATAGGACATAAGAGTTAATAATTACATTTATATTTTAATTAATTAATTATAAGAGTTAATTTTTATATTAATTTTTACGTCATATTAATCTTATAAATAAAAAGAAATATTTATCTTACTTGATTAAGTTCTATTTTATCAACTAAAATTCATATCTTTAAATAATTTTTTGATATCAAGAAATGACAATTAATAAAATGAAATAAATATTGTTCTCATATATTTTAAAAGTCACAAGGAATGGAAACATCTATGTATTTTACTTTTTTAATTTTTGCGATGCATTTAACAATTATAAATTTGTGTATTGACATTTGTCTTTCACAAATCATACTTGATTTCCTTTGCAGGATAATAGAAATAATGTGCTACTAGGTAAAGAAACGCAGTATACCCCGATGTCTTTGCTCCACACCACGGTATGACTTAAACTATCCCACATCTGCAACAATCTATCATGTCCCGCAGTTGCGAACTGAGGCAATGTTGGATGGGCCGCAAGTCCCCAAACTTCCTCGGCGTGTCCCAACATTGCGGGATTGAAACCCATTTCATTCTGGCCAACAAGAATACAATTCCTCGTCGTGCCGATTAATAACTGAGTCCCTCTTCCTTCCGATAGCGTTCGAATTCCACCGAAATGATCCTCAATCTATCAAATAAATTTTATTATTATTTTAACATTGAAAAATATGTTAATGAGATAAAAAAACATGCAAATGCAAACAACATGCAAATGAATTTTTCTTGTTAAATTTAAGCTTCTTTACTCACTTGAGCTTCTTCCCCCGTCAAATTCAAAGATGCATCAAAATACAAGATCTTGCCATCCTTTCCACCTCCCGTAATAATGTTGCCATTTTTTAGAACACATATGGAGAAAATCGATCCTTCATGAAGATTTCTCACTAGCCTTGAAATTGTGTTAGTACCTAAGAATAGAAAATGATATAGTAAGATATAAATGGTACTTCTTTTATCAAAAAAGAAACTTTAATCGTTATATCTTTTTTATTAATAAATTCATGATATTTATTTTTTCCACGAAAATTTAATGAGGATTTATTATTATTATAATTATTAAGAAGATTACCTCGAGCCCAAACGATGATGTTGCCGTTACTATCGCCGGTGAGAACATCGCCGTTTTGATTGAAGGCGACGCAGGTAACATATCTGGGCTTATCTCTGCTCTCGAAGATGCCCATACGTTTATACAGCATGCCGCCATTATCCAGGGACCAAAAGGACACGTGCCCTTTCCCGCAAGAGACGATCTGGTTGCGTTCCAGCGGATGCCACTCGGCGCAAACTACCGTGTCGACAGAGCACTGCAATCAGCAATCATCGGCCGTTAAATGGCCTGCTTCCGGCCGGGATATACGCGAATCATTCGCGACATCGTAGGTAAATATATATGCCGCGAGAATTTTTAATTAACGTCATTACGTACGTATCGGAGCATCGCGACCGTACCTTCGTTTCAGTCACTTTGGTGCCACGGTCGCTTTTCTGCCAATCCCAGATCGATATATTGTGATCGGAGGTCTCGTCGATGGCGCACAAATAATTTCCACCGTCGGCCTTGGAAAATGACAGGCAGCAAATCGATCCATCGAATTCACCATTGCCGATCACGCTGAGAGTCGTCAGACTCACTGAGTTCCATATTCTTATATGTGGCTGAAATCCAAATGCCAATTCTTCTATAGTAGTTTTTAATGTAATTCAATTACATTGATATATGATATGTGTGAACGTTGTTTTATTTTCGTTTTTCATTTGTTTGATATATTTTTATAACCTTACCATGGCATCTCGACGATCTGTTCCGCACACTTGTCCTGTCGCGACGACTAATTTGTTAGGATGAATCGCTATGCTGTGTACATACAAAAATCAAATTAAATTAATATTTTCATATTAATATGAGTATTTCTACAATTTTTTTATTTTATTTTTAATTGATTAATAAATATTTTGTAAGTTCTAATTTTCCTCCATATATTTCATTCAAAAATTAAATAATTGTCTTTCTTTCTTCCTTCTTTTCTACATTAAAATTTTTTATTATAATAAAATTCAAAATTAAACAAGATTATTAAACTAAAATATGAAAGAAATCAAATTCAAGATTTATATATAAAATATATTTATTCAGAATTAAATATTAAATATCTTTAATTCTCTGTCATTCTCGATGATCTAATATTTTCTTCGATATTTTCTTCGAATTATTAATAATCGAATATTAAATTTTATAACTTTTATCACTGTCAGATATCTAAATCTATATTTGCGCTTTTCTTCGCAATAATTGGAAGCACCAATGTTATTGCTCATGTTTTTCACTCACCACTTGACATCATCCGTGTGACCCACGTAATGCCTTTGGCTGTGCTCCTCCATGTTGTACAGAACAACGACCGCCGCAACGAAATATACGATCTCGCCTGTCGGCAGCAGGTGTAAATTGCTACGGCAATCTCGGCCCCGGTAACCGTAGACCCAGTCGAGCTTCAATTTGCTCTGTGGCGGCGTGCTAACTTTGTGAAGGTCATAGGCCTCCATCATGGACGTAGGGACGTACAGAATGACCGGCCGGCCGCGTAGATACATACGGACGGTACCTTCCTCCTCGTTGTACTGCATGTCTCTGGTGCTACAAAGAGATTGTTCATTTACGTCTGTCTTACTATTTTGTCATATTTTTTTTGTCGCGGCCATCTGCTTCGCACGCATTGTGCATTTCAAGGACTCGACGTGAAAAGCTAAACGGTAGAAAATTATTTTGTCACGCAGAAGAGTTCACGCTTGATTTGTCCATTCAGTAAACTTCTTCGTTCGCAACATATTATTCTTTTTTTAATTTCTATATTTATATTTTAAGAAGAAAAATTCCTTAAAATATTTTTCTCTAAAATTCACTCTATCTTATCTTCTTTGAAATAACTTTTAATTAGCACTTAGAAAAGTAGAAAAGAAAACAAAGGTCAATAAATCAGAGCTGTTTGAAATAAAATTTTTCTCACGTGTAAACCGGCAATGACTACGGCAATGATTACTTCACTCCGTGAATTTCCACAAGAGCCTCGCTGGATTCTGCTCGAATTCCTGTATCGACCGACGTACTCTCTGATCGCACTGTTCGCGCTATACTGAAGCGAATTCGCGAGGCTTTCTGTGTCGACGAGGTCTGGTAACCACGACGAATGACTCACGCGAATAATGAACACGGCTTTATTACTCCGCGAAGCGTGTTGCACCGTCACGTTAATGTTCATTTTTTTCCTTTTCTACTCTTGCGATATCGTACAAGCGAAATATTCGCTTGTCTTGAAATTCTTGAGCCTGTTTTAATGATCAATATAATCGAGGACGAGGCGGGCCGTTTCATAAAGCAACGGATGTTGTGCAAATTTCAATTTTTTAAACTTCAGTCTTTTAATTTATCAGACATATCTCGGAGATGTCTGAAACTACGAATTTCATTTCGATTTATATCCTAACAATAACTATTCTGTTCCTTTAAATATTCAGGTACCGTGAAGCATACTTGAGGAAAAGATGCCGTACAGTGAATAGACACCGAGCAAAGCGAATCAATGTGATGCAAAACGAGGTAGCGGAGAACTGTAGCCTTGACCAAATTCGTCGTGAAATTGCGAATTCGGAGCTTTCTCTGCCTTGCCTTCACATTTACTGCAATGCTTATCAATGTAATTAATATCCGAAATTTATAACAAAAATTGCGCACAAGGAAGAAAATTAAATTATTCATTAACTAAAATAATATTCTTTTTATTATAACATAAATAACTTTGGTTTAAACGATGAAGATAATATTTCTAAGATAAAATTCAACACACAATGATAATTACAGGTTTTCAAATATTCCAAGTCGTTTACATGCTTTATAACACGGTATTATTGACTCCGTCTGATCAATAAATTCAAATGAAGTTTGTGTCGAGCTCGCTCGTAACAATGCAACGAGTCAAGAGTAATGTAACTTCCGAGAGCATTTTTGACGTTGAATGATGCGGGAAGGCAACAGGTATGATAGGTAGACCACGTGGTTAACGGCTCATTTAACGTCCTAGTGCGAAAAGCGCCGTGCGTTACCGAAGAAAGTGAATCGCGATTCCTCCTGCTGTTGCACAACCATGCATACTGCGTTTCCTGGTGTGCATGACGTCACGGCGTCACGAGCACGCCGGAAACGTCGGCAAAAAAATACGACGCCGCCATCGTCTGAAAAGGTCCTCGAGACGATTTTTCAATTTCGTACTTGCAAAAGGCAGACAATTGTAATGTGTCAATTGCAAATTTCTAATGTGTCGATTACAAATACCTGCTCTGTTAAAAATTAATAAAAATAATTCGTGTAGGCTAAAATAAAAAGCTAAAAACAAAGCTTACAGAGATAAAATCACCTACTTGTTTTTTTATTATACCTCACTATGGAATACGCTAGACTCTACATGCATATATTACAAAATCGTACAGCAGAATTGTGCCATTACAAATCGCCTTCACACAATAACAGTCTTCATAAAATATAAATTATAGCCTTATTCCCTGCGTTTTATTTTCGTGCAAGAAGTATCGTAGGGTACGGGATAAGACATTTCCGGCTACGGGTATCAGTTTCAAAACGAATAACCATATCATTTCTACGAGAATGCAATTAAAACGTGCAATTAGCTTCGATCGCGATTCAAGCATAATGTAAAACAATCCCAGGCTCGACATTTAAATTTGAAATGTGACTTTTACCTTTCGCTATCGCATCGGCTATGCACGCCCCTTCGAACTGCACTTTTGCCTGGAGATTCTACGGCCCTCTCTCGAGGAATCACACCGGCACGACATTTGCATGCGCGAGATCGAAGGTCGAAAGTAACGCGCATCACGATAATTAACGGCATGCCAATGCGGTGATAATAAGAACGTGCTGTGCTACGTGCAAGAACATGTGATACAGTGACTTCCCGCTTAACGGACGTTCATTCGCAACACCGATTGACGAATCGGCAAGCGTTAGGTGTTAACACATATTAGCAAACTGTTCTCTACTACGTTATAAAAATAATAACCGCGGAAGAGAGTTTGTCCTCTTGTACACATCCAAAGGATTTCTCTACTGACAAATTACACTGCGAAAAATATCGTTTTTTTATATATATTACATTTTTTTAAACGTAAAGTATTACAATTTTGAGAAAACCTCGCCGAAATATTGAAATAAAATCTAATTGCGACAAGCTTTTCTTATTATTTCTACGGAATTTTTGTCGAATCGTAATGTAGGAAGTGTAAAGTAAAAATTATTAAACCGTTCCGTGAAATAATTATTTAATTTTGTAAAATCGGTCTTTCAATTTCAGATTAGATAACCGATTATTTACTCGTAAAGAGGTAAGCCGCAATTCGATCTGTGATCTACGAGGCGAGATCGGGATCAACCGCCTCCGCGATATGCACACCCCGCAGATCGTGTGTCATGCAGATATATATCGTGGCGATAACCCGCAGGAAATACTACACGTGCGTACTTAACGCCCGTGTTTTAAGCGAGGCTTTACCGCGCGCGCTCACCTGCGGAGGGACGAAATTGCATCTTAAAGGCCGCACGGCGTGCACGTGCATCGGCGAAGCGCGTGCACGTGCGACCGGAATGCACCCCACGACGGGTCGCCTAAACGCGGCTGCGAGAGAAGCCGGACACAGAAATAAGTTGTGTAAAGTACTCTGGTAAAGTATATTATTTACCCGTGCTTGACGTTGTTCATCGTCGGTGGCTTGAACAGGTTGAACAGGGACTTGGTGGACGCAGACAATCTATAATGAACGAAAATGCAAACGAAAACCATGCGGTGCGAAACAAAATAGAAAGAAGAAGTAGAAAGTAAGGGGGAGAAAGAACGGAAGGCCGTTCTCTGATGCGATTGGCGTGTTTCCCGCATACTTGAAGCGTTGATCGATAATTTTACAAAGAGATTCCTCATCGATTAGGCGCGCTTCAAGCATAATTTCAACGAGGAGAATTAAGATAATGAATCTAGCTATTCTTCCCGAGCAAGTTAGACTCGACCTTTAATTAGTTTAACTTTAAAATTTACTTTTAATTTAATTTAAATTTAATTTAATATGATTTTATATTATTAATATAAAAGTTATCATAAATTTATCTCAGACATTAAAGTCTTTAATTTATTGTTAAATTCGCCTTTTTTGCGACATATCTGCAAGCTTAATTTCTTTACAGAAATTGTTTTAAACTTATATCGGCATGTTTATTAACTCAATCAATATGAAAGAAGAAATGATATTCATTTCAAGTTCAATGTACTGTGCAGATACGACGCAGGAAAAAGCATAATAGCGCATAAAAGACGAAGCAGTAGTAATCCGCCGACCAATGGAACGCGAGAGACGGTCGTTTCGATGGGAAAATCGCGCTCGATCGCCCGAGAGAAGAAGCAAGAAAACTGGCGGTGATAACAAAAAGTTAAACTCGTGTGATCAGTGAAATGTGAACAAAATCACAAATAGCAGGCAAACGGTGCGTTTTACTGTTACGTTATTAGCTGTGAGCTAACCTGGTACTGACGAGCTGGGAATTGCTTCCCTGATTTTGCGGGGAATGTGTAAAATCGCCGGTGGACGACCATCTCTTCGCTCTTCTCAGGCTACTTTGTGGCGGTCCGTTTGATCTTGCCGTGGGCGATCTAAGACATCGAATTCAATTCTCGTACAACAGCATCATGCAAATATACACGCATCGCATAACATTCTAACGACGTTCTATGAACATTGAAATATATCGCTACTAATTAACAGCGAACGTTCATTAACGTGACGATAACATTAAAGAACACACATGCGCATATTACAATTGTATACGCAACACATAATTAATAATGTAACAAGAATAATCCGAGCTGTTGCAATCGGATCGGAAAATTTGATTTAGATAAATTCATAATTAAAATTCACATTTTAGAATTTTTCTAGTCTTAGTTCTCGCTTTGCGACACAAAATGTTGTTGCGTTAAATGCGATAATTTTTAATTTACAATTAATTTCATATATTAAGCTACAGTTTAGATTTTCTACCTGGCTACAGGCAGTGGCGTAGCTCTAGGACTTGGCGATGGCACCGGAGAAACACTACTACTACTCGGACTATCCGAATGTAAAGAACCCGTTGACTGATAATGGACGGATCTCCTAAAACAAAAAGTAATTTACTAATACAAGGACGAAGCATAGATTATCCAAAAGTATAACTAGAATATGATATTACAAAGTCAATATAGATTAAAAATAAAGTCACAAAGCTGGAAGAATATCCGAAATTTTTAAACGCTTTGTGTATTAATATTATTATTAATATTAATATTAATTTTATTATTAATATTATATTAATATTATTATTAATATATTATAAAATTTTGTACATAAAATTTTTGTTCAAATATGAACAGTCGTTTTTAATCCATTTGCCAATCCGAGGAATTGACTACTCAGTTTCATTTCACTTGAGTTCTTCTTTGGTTACATTAAACATAATCTACGATGTTAGTTTTTAGATCTTTCACCTTTGAGGAAGTTCGGAAGGATGTACATAGCTGGCAGGCCGTCTCGGACTGGACGTCGCGTCGCGTACATTTTGCGACGATCCCGAGGAGGAGGAATTTCTGAGACCGCCAGTCTGGCGCAGCCTCAAATCCTTCTGTGGCACCGAGTTTTGACTACCTGAAAACAACCTTGTCTTTTATCTCGAAGCGAATTTCAAGCGAATGGAAAAAAAGGACATTCCGCATCTCTTAAATGCCGATGCTCCGTTTAAAATTACAGTTTCAATAGAAGGCCTCTGCCTTTCGTGCTAAGCTTCTACCGCATGCTGCATAAATAACACGCGATGTAGCTGCGAAACGTATAGGATGCGTGATTGGGTTTCAACGGCAGTGTAACGGTGCGCGATATTCATAACGCCTTCCGCATCTATTACTATCTATTTTCTGCGTTCATCAATTGCTAAGAGCCGAGCTAAGGTTGCTGTCGGCGTAAGTAATTTATGCTCGTCAGTGATTCTCGTTTTCATTTCCTGCCAGATAGGCTGACAGGAGACAAAGGTATATATATTCACCGTGCCTTCGATGAATCGGTGAACACGTAGAGAACAATTAGAAAACTATTCGTGTTCGCGAGCGGGTATCCCGATTGTGCCAGGGAATTAATGAACGTGGGACAAGAGTTTTCGTTTCAATTGCGTTACTTTCTACATGAAATTTAATTATGGTCGCGAAATTCCTTTTAATAAGAACGTTGAATAAACACGTGATAATGCATAATGCAGAACAACTGGATGTTTACACATCCAGATATTTCTTGTTATACTTTTATTTCATGGAATTATATAGTATAATATATAATATATACATATATATATATATATATATATTTTTATCAAGATATATTAATTTTAATTAAAGGTTTATACAAAATGAATTCAGTTACGTTCGCGTAAACAACAAATTAATTTAATTTAATTAAAAGTTACATTAAAATTGAATTAAAAGGTAATTTAAAAAATATTTTAACAATATTTATATTGAACTTAAATAATGTAATTCTTTAACATTTGATTATTTTAAACAATTATAAAACGAAATAAACTAATATAAGAAAGAAAAGGTTTAAGTTGAATAAAAATTGAAAAAATGAAACTAACATGTTTTAAAAAAGTAACTAGCTGAAGTTTAACTAGCTAAAAATTATTAATTTTTTTATTCTATTACTTAATTGTCATTGATAAACTAGTTACCATCCAACTTTTTATCTTAACAATAAACAAAATTAGCGGAGAACTTTTATTTGCAGTTTACAGCATCTAAATGACATCTGACAATATGTGATGCATCCGAACAAATTCGAGTATTTGCCTCGATCCCTCCCGAATTCTCTTGCCTTTTTTCCCAAGGTCTGCACGAATGCCGAAAACCGGCAAACAATTACGCGACTCCATTCACGTTCGTGAGTGGGTTTCTCGATTGCGCGCAGCGAAACCGAACGTGACCTTAAAGTCGTCGCGTGCCAACAGGTACAACACCCGGCTCGAGCTTTATTTCCAGGCGCTCGAATACTTGGCGATCTAACGAGGCTTCCTCGCATCCGCAATTCCCGCCATAACGTACGAGACTCTAGAGGTATCCGAGTCCGCCGGAAATGCACGCCTGACTTAGGTTGCATGTCGTGCACGATCGCCGCTCGCACCGACGTCAACGTATTAATTTACGCCTCGCAATAACGAATAATAAATTGCGATGAGTCCGCGTTGCGATCTCACGAAGCGATATCACGTGTCAGGGTAAAATTGTATATCCTCGTTATAGGTATAATCGATGCTCCGAGTGAGAAAAAAAGCACGATATAGTGTCATTTGTATTCTGATAGCGTAAAACAGAAAAGACGATCTAAACTTTAAAGAAAGGAGAATATAAAATTCCTTTCTCGTGCTCAGGTACTTTGATGTTAGCTTCAAATCGAACTTTAATTCTTAAAACGTAGCATAAATCGCCTGATCTCCTCTTAAAATGCATGTAATCAAAGCGTTATTACAGCGAACAATTCATGTATGCTATCCTTGAGGACTAAGAGGACATAACTGAACAATGAAAAAACATTAAAAAAAAATGCTATTAGATAATAGGTGTTTTTCAGTGAGACATAATAGATGTTTTTCAATGAGATACGCAGATAATATATGTTTAACTTCATCTTTGTTCAATATTAATGGGACACAGACAAAGATATAGCCAAATACAGAGCTACATTCAAAAATACCGTGCCTCCATGAATCATTTTAATCCTTGTTTAACATTTGGTGAAGTATTTACTGAGCATACAACAATGTGTGGGACCACATATAGATTGTAACTAAAAAAAAAATAAGATATTATTTAAGATTTCAATTCTAGCATCAGCATGCGTCCAATTATATTCAATAGTTGTAATAAGATGTGCGCTCTCCTTCCTAAAATTTAAAAAACTCGCTACTCTAGGTTTGCTCTTTTTATTAAAAAAAAAATAATTATTGTGTATGCCTTGAAGCTTGATTTCACGAATTAACATAATTTTATTAAAATAAAAAATTCTTAGATTATTGAACTTTTGAGATATTTTTATATAATGGCAATTTTGATGATATTCTGATTTTTAGAATTAGCAATTGATAATAACAAAAATGAAATATATGTGTTATTATGTCAAACTATATTATAATCAATTTATATAATTCTCATTATTACAATATAATACAATGATGAAATAACAGATCAATTGAAATATTCAATCGACGATTATCACAAGAAATAGGATGTATTTGTGGCCTGGTTACCAGCGAAGGTGCGGCAAATCTAACGATTGTTTACAGGTCATACATTAATCAATCGAATCAGCTTTCCTTTCGTTATCATAAATCAAAGATACAATCTCTTCATGTCTGTCAATTATCAATCTAAGTTTATTATCTATGAAAATCGAACTGTGTGTTTACCGTGTGATTACCGTGAAATTAAAAATTAATTTTTTTAATTGTGTTTCGTGGAAATAAAATTCATAATAATTATTCTTTTCAAGAATTTCTTCACAGAATTATGATAAAGAAGAAAGAATATAACATAATTTTTTTTCTTTGTTGAAAATATTATTTCACATATACAAACACGTACAACACACACACACACACACACACACACACACACACACACACACACACACACACACACACAC